CTCCAGCCCCTAATTGTGCATTAAATCACAATTACATCAATCATTAAAGGAGCTATTCTAACAACAACCTCAATAATAATCTATTAATGCAAAGACATTAAATAATTCTTCTGATTCTTAATTTTTTTTTTCTCTCAATGATGAACCTGCAAGAGAAGCAAGAAAGAAAAGGATGGAAGGAATAGAAGTGTCTTTAGTCTGCAGATGCCTCCAGAAGCAGACAGAGCTTTGTCACTGGCCTCTCCAACACACTGGTTTTGGTCTGAAGTTGTACTGAACGAATCAGGCCTTGTGCATCAGCTTTGACTGCCAGGACTCTCCCCATCTGCCAACATCCTCTGGGTGCTGTAGCATCTGCAATTAAGACAATGTCTCCAAGAGATACGTTTCTTCTCTGCGTCATCCACTTTTGTCTTTCTTGCATTAAAGGCAGATATTCAGAGATCCACCTTTTCCAAAAGAGTTCAGCCATATACTGTGCTTGCTTCCATCTGCGTCTGAGGTACAGATCTTGTTTTTGAAACAGTCCAGGTGGCATAACAGGTTTGCTCTTTAACATCAGGATGTGATTTGGTGTGAGGGCTTCTAAATCATTTGGATCATCAGAGACCAAAGTGATGGGCTTATCATTCAAAATGGCTTCAGCCTCACAAAAAACGGTCTCTTTTAGCTCTCTATTGGCTCCCACAAAATTCGTGCCATTATCTGATCTAATGGAAGAGACTGGACCACGTCTGCATATGAATCTTCTAATTGCATTAATGCAGGAATCAGTGTCGAGGGTATAAGCCACTTCCAAATGAATAGCACGACTAGTTGGGCAAGTAAATACTACTCCATAACGTTTAAGAAGACTTCTGCCTTTCTTCACATCAATGGGGCCAAAATAATCAACACCAACATCTGTGAATGGAGCTTTGTCTGGCAATACCCTTTCCTGTGGCAGGTCAGCCATTTTCTGTTCCAGAAGCTTACCTCCATTTCTTCTGCAGGTGACGCAGTCAGACAAGATTTTTCTGGCAGCAGAGTTTGCATTAATTATCCAGTATCTCTGACGCAGTCTGGACAACATGTGGATTCTTCCTGCATGACCAAGCAGATTGTGAATGTAA